AAGCTATTATTTTATCAGCAAAGACGACAAGGGATTTGCTGGAGACGCTGTCTTTCTTCTCAAACTTTTCAGATGCCTAGATTTGTGCAAACAGTAAAAACAACAAAAATGTCCAAACTTCCTGGAAAAAGAGTCATGAATACCTCTAATACACAACCAGCAAAAAGGACTTGAGTTTTGCGCGCTTCTGGATCATTCGAACTTCGTTTTCTAGAGTAATCGTCGAGTTCCGGATAAGATTTGATAAAAGACTTTACGGCTTCTTCAACTGCAAGATGATGAGCGTTTTCATCCTTGTCACCATCAGTAATCCCAAATCTTTCAAGGATTTCAACTATGGCTTTTCTGAAGTAAGGAGTTTGACGAGAAAATCTTCCAAGGAAACCACACTTACAACGTGACACCATTCTTATTGGCATCATTTAGTGTCTCGTTTTCGCTTATCGTAGAGCTTTCATCACTATCACTGTCAAGGGACTCATCCACAAAATGGATACTAAATTGAAAAAGATCAAAAGTAATTGTAAGAATCATGGACCTTATTAGGAGTGTGTTAGAACAGACAGCAGTTCATGTCTATCTTTTTAAAATGATTTAGCAATGACAGTAGTGTGTGTTACTCAAATTATCTCTAAGGCCAGGTTGCTCAAAAGTGTGTGCCTTTAAAGGTAGCCGTCTGCTGATCTAACAGATAGAGCAGCATTCGTCCTATTCTAAGTACTACAAGATTTTATAGTGTGAACTACTTTTCGTGCACTATTTGTGCGTTACCAAAACAATAAACTTACGGCAAGATGTCAAAAGGCCACAGCTCCTCCTCGCGACCATTCAAAAATCTAATACGCTGTAAAAGGACAAAATCAGAATAATACAAAAGCTATACGTTAATACCTGCTTTCCATTAGCTAAATCGGCAACCACTTGGAATGCAACGTCTCGGATATCGTTGGACGAATGCTGCTGGTCAAGTACCACACCATAATTTCCAATAAACAATCTGAAAAGACCAATGATAATATTAAAGTACCAAACAAGGTAAGAGTCCTTTGATAGCCCCACCGTTTATAATGCGGGTGAGGCATGATGTCAAACAAAAGACATTCTTCCTCACCAAGGTTTTTAACCTAAAAACGAAGGATAAACATGAAAATTACAAGAAAAGTGCTATTCCATACAGAGTCTTTGGTTCGTTCAAACCAGGAGACAACACAGGACCGCTCCGCACGATTTGTAGACAGAATTAATCCAAATACAGATTCTTAAGTACTTTTTTCCCTTTAGAAAGACGAAGATAAGCAAGAGGCTAAGCATCTACCTGCATTTTGTACATCTTTTCGGGCTACGATAACACCGGGTAAGTGATCTTGTTGATCGAGATCAGGATCGTGAGGAATCAACATGTAACCAGGAATCTGCCGCTCAACAGTGCCATTCATCCATTGAACATCCACTAATGTATTTGATAGTAAGACCTGTAACAATTTCTAATAAGAGAGACTGTTACTTTTATCAAATTATACCATAAACTTCCAAAACAAGAAAATTTCCACTTAACAAAAGCTTTTCGTCATGTCGGAACCAGGTAAAATTGGAAGTACTATGAGATAGTTCTCTCAAATAAGGCTTAATCTAATTAAGCCC